AAGATTATTCCGAGTTAGTTCGAGGTGAGTCTTCTCACTATACCTTACCAAGAGTGGTAACTATGTGCGACTGGAAGGTCTTATGTGCTTACATGAGTTATGTGATATTATGATGATTCTGTTTATGTAATATGTATATGTTATACTCTGAGCTTGCAAAGTAGGGACCAGAAGGTCAGTATGGTTGGGACCGGAAGGTCCATTAGCGTTGTGGGACCGGAAGGTCCCACTGAGACACAATGACCGGAAGGTCTTGTAGAGTTATGGACTCAAGTGGCTTATGTGTTGTATGTGGTATTTGGGGAACTCACTAAGCATGCTTGCTTACTGTGTTATGTGTTTATGTGTTTCAGGTACTTCTGAGGATCGCGGGAAGGCACCGACTTGATTGTATACACACAGTTGATATGGATGTATGTTTATGGATCCTGGATTTGATAATTACTTTTGAAAACTATTTTGGAAAAATGTTATGACATTGACACTTGTGATTTTGAAAATTTTTATATATGATATTGGTAATTTAACTTGAATAATTATGTTTGAAATTTTTACATCGTTACAAGTTGGTATCAGAGCCTTGGTTTGAGGGATTCGGATACACCTTCGAGTATGTCTGGACTCAAACTGAGGATTTGAGAAAAGTTTTCAAAAGGAACGATTTTTCTAAAAATGAGTAAAAGAATTTTAAGAGAAAGAGGAAACGAGCAGTGTGTACAAGCAGCCAGCGCCCGAACGGTGATTTCCCAAAATACCCTTACTTTATGTGATGTAAGTTGTTATGAGATATGTTGTGCATGCTAAAAGGAGGCCAGGTATTTCATAATTTAGGACTAGAGTGGCCTGATATGTGATGCCTTAGCCTAGGGGTTTGCTATCTGTGATTTTCTTGAGTGCAAGTAGGAAGCGGGAATGAGCATGTGATAGATCGACTATGAGAGTAGTCGATGTTTGACGAGATATAGAGTGTTTGTAATCTAGGATACTAGGAGGTATACTTGGGATGAACACAGATGCGGTGTGGAAGGTAGTATTGGTCCCGTACTACTGGAAGCACCGGATCAATGAGCAATCCAAGTAAGAATCCTTAAGATGCTAAGGAACAAGTGGGTCAGAGTGATCGAGTGTGAGCATTCCCATTCGGCTAATTAACCTCCACTAGTCAAGAGAGCAGTGGGTGAGAGTGGATACATAATAGGGGTCATTTTATAGGCCGCTTCCTTAAACTCTCATTATAGACCAGCTTCGTAAATGATGCCTACTAACTTTTCTTATATCTATATATATATATATATATATATATATATATATATATATATATATATATATATATATATATATATATATATAAGGGTGTATTTTAATCATTTAAAATACTAGGGTTTTAAATTTAAATTTTTTTAAAATTTAAACTATTTAATTTAAATTTAAATTTTAAAACCAAGGATGTATTTTTAAAACTTTTCAAAATTACTAGGTTAAATTTTTAATAATTAAATTAACACATTAATTTTATCGTAATTAAAAATTTTAACCCAATCATGAATTCATGATAATGATACAAAACTACTGCTTAAAATATCCAATTCTAAACAATTAAAACGAATTTATGGTAATTATCCTAATCAATCCATGAGACAATTATCAAAACCAAAAATATAGGATCTGACATTGCAACTTGTCAAGTTGGGCAACAAACACGTCAAGTTGCATGCCAACTCGTCAAGTTCATAAACCAACTCGACGAGTTCGATGAACAGAATGACGATTTTGTTCCTTTCTCCTTCGAACAATTTACAATTGCATCATATTCAATAGAAAACTAATCCTAGGCTCTGATATCAGTGATGGGTTTTGAGGATAACAACAATTCCTATTTGTACATGCAACCCTAATGCTTTGGATCTAGGTTTTCTCTAATTGAACATGCAAATTTGAACACAAAAGGAGAAAGCCTAGATAGCAAATATAATTTTCGAAATCTATATAAAAATAGGGTTTAGTTACATACCTTGATTGTTATATTGTAATAACAATACTTCCTTTGTAGATCTTGAAGCTTGAGAACTTAGTGTCACAAGTGTAACACCTCTAATGGCTCACAAATACCCAATGCAAGAGAATGATATGAGAGAGGAGGAAGGGATCCAATTTTTGGTTTCTAGCTTTTTCTAAGAGTGGCTGAAATTCTCATGCTTAAGGACTCTATTTATAGTGCACTAAGTATACTATGGATGACCCTAATTTGAATATCATTATCTCAAATATGGTAATTATTCACCTTTTTTGATTATCAACTTGTGATAAAATATTATAGAAACTCTAGAATAATCTTATACATACATTAATTTCGTCCATCTCCTTCCATAGGAAGGTTTTGGACCTTTTTGCTCAACTTTTGAACAATTACACTTTTAGTCCCTGCAATTTCAATTAATTCCTTTAATCCCAAAATTAATTCCAAATTAACTTATGATTAAATATTAATTAATAATATGATCACTAATTAATATATTATTTTCATAACATATTAATAAATAATTTGTTAATATGACATGAGAAAGGAGGAAGGGATCCAATTTTTGGTTTCTAGCTTTTTCTAAGAGTGACTGAAATTCTCATGCTTAAGAACTCTATTTATAGTGCACCAAGAATGCCATGGATGACCCTAATTTGAATATCATTATCTCAAATATGGTAATTATTCACCTCTTTTGATTATCCACATGTGATAAGATATTCTAGAAACTCTAAAATAATCTTATACATATATTAATTTCGTCCATCTCCTTCCATAGGAAGGTTCTGGACCCTTTTGCTCAACTTTGAACAATTACACTTTTAATCCCTTCAATTTCAATTAATTCCTTTAATCCCAAAATTAATTTCAAATTAATTTCTGATTAAATATTAATTAAAAATATGATCACTAATTAATATATTATTTCAATAACATATTAATAAATAATTTATTCCAATTTATTAATCAATTAATAAATTCTTCCTCTTCCTCAATAATCATCCTGTCTAGTTACACGCGTGAAGGCAACCCAAAGGACCATGCCACTATCAATTCAAGTACATAGTAATTATAGTTATGGACTTAGACACCTAATTAAACACACGTTGCTCTGAATACAAAATCTACCGGTCACCTTTACAAATAACAGTGACCAAAACTTAGACTATGGCTTAAAATACCCTAGGTCAAACTTAGGCAAAATCTTGGTCAAGTCAAAAGTCAAAGGAGTTAACCGAGTCGATTCAGTTAAGTACGCCCAATGTACTCAGCTTGTACGCACGGCGTACTACACCTTGACCAAATTACGGGTTGTTGACACCTTACATGCAATATATCATAACGTACGCCCAACGTACGTGCCAACCAACTTTTTATTCTATCAAGAGCTTAATCCTTTAAGTCCTTTCGTCCAAAATCCAAATCTATACCTCAAATGATGTCATTAATCATAAAGTTTCCAACTTTATGATCTTGCATGGCTATTAAGCGCGCAATACCGAAACCTTAACTTAATAGAAAGTCTAAACCACTAAAGAGTATGTATGAAGGGAAACTAAGGATCAAGATTACATTTTTATGACTCTAAACACTTCAAAACGTCTAAAAGGACAACTCATATGATTTAGAGTAAACCATACTCATTAACACCAAACTTATATGACCAAAATGAGCACAAATCCATGGCTAACAGGATCTAAGAAAAAAACTTCATCAAGATCAGAGCTTTAAACCTCTAAATGAGGCTTGAGGGCAAGATGTTTCAAAATCCAAAGTCCTTCAAGCTTCCAATATGTTTCCCTTTCCTTCTTCTTCCTCTAATTATGCCAAAACACACACTAATGGCTCAAAGATGCTCACAAAATGGATTAGGGTTTGTTTGGGACGAAAGTGGGTATGGAGGCTGATAAATGAAGGAGGTCTTAGGAGTTAAGGATGTGTAAATATGTTCTAAATCCTAAAAATTAGGATTTGACCCTAATCATGTACGCCCACGTATAACCCACATTTTCAATAAAAAGGCTCAAGGAACCAGATGTTATATTAAGTATTTATAGATAAATTTTATTAACCATAGATTTGGAACATCTTGTTGGATATTATATCGTCCAATGGGTCCAACACAAGCCTATAGTAACTCATCATAATTTATAGTCCAAAGTTTTTTTTTTTCAATAATCCGATCTTTTTGCTCTATTCAATTCTTTGTCAGGGTTCACAATTATGCGAGAGGCTGGTATCAGTTTGATTTGGTTGGTTGTAAAAGATGAGAAGAATTTACGACGACCCTTCGATTCAGCGAAAAACAATGATTTTTCGAACTCATTCTCAGAACCCTAAATCAAACAATCTCATCTTCAATCTCTTCTTAATAAGCTTCGATATATATCTTCAATGGCTGAATCAGAAAATGGATCGCCAGGTACTCATATCTCCTGTCTTTTTTTATTTAATAAATTAATCCTGCATGCTGAATCGTTGATGCTTCGATTTTCCATCAACATCATTAGATAGCTTATATAACCCGATATCAGAATGAAATTCAATTTCTGCGTTGAATTGCCTGTACACAATACACACGGGTGATCATTCTTTTGTTTGGAGTCTGAATTTGTGAATTGGAGCACTCACTCCAGGTGTTCGACGAAATGCTGATATTACCCATTTGTTTTTGTTTGATGTAATGGCATATGGCAGTGAATAACCTGAAGGTGGAAGTAAGAGCAGGAAGAATAAAAGAAACTTCACCTCGTTATCGTAAAGAAAGTCATGTTAGAGGAGGAGAAGATATCATCGAGGTGAGCACTCCAATCAGCGAATTTAAAGGTCAGAGTATTTTTGATCGAGCAAAAGAAGAATTTGAGGCGCTTGTTGAAACGATTCATCCCAAGAAAGAATATGATTATTTCGTTTCCCCGCCTAAAAAGGAAGGTGGATTTCGAGCTACCATTGGAAGAAAGTTAGAAAAAATTACATCCGCAAGGAGTCATAATCATCAAGATTGAGGTTATGTTAATCCCTCTACCAAATTATGACCCCTGATTCTGATATATGTTAATTGTTTGTATTCGTAAAATGATTTTGCACATCAATGAGATTTGACTTTTGGTCAATTCTTTTTAGTATCTATATTGGTATATGTGGATTCATCAAGTGGGATGTTTCTGATGAAAGTTTTGAATCTTGGATTAATGTGTGGTATGAGTTCTTTCTCAATTGATATATAGTTAACTACATATTTTGTTCATGTGTTTTATTTAAAATCGTACGTTTGATCATTTTAGTTTGCATTCCATTGGTGTATTTGGTGCCCTTGGGATTTAATCCGCAACAAAATGCAAACTTAAGGATAACTAATTCTCTACGGGGATGAGGCATTAGCGCATTGTTAATATGAGTGTTGAATTTTAAAAACTCAATATTAACCTTAATAAGATTTTTTGACAAAAAAAAAAAAAAAGGATTAAGGATCATACTAGAATTGGCGTGACATGTAGGCGGGTTTTGACCCATTAGGGATAAATGCAAAAAAGCCCAATCAATTATACATGTATATGCAGAAAAAGTCTTATATTATTTTTATGTACAGAAAACCCTTATATTATTATTTATGTTTCAAATAAAACCGAATCGGAAATTTTTAAGAGAAATGACCGACAAAAAATATGATATGATATACATATCCCTTATATTTCTTCGATTGTATGCAAAAATATGTCAAACCGACATACATTTAGATTACTTTCACTCGATTGTGTTATCTATATAGTTGATTTTTCTCTTCTTAACTAATCGTTTTATCCCAAATTAAAATCAATATCGTATTAAAAAAATAAAAATGTAAGAAATATTAGATTTTTAGTTGTCAATTTCTCTTAAAAACCCATATTTTGGTTTTTTTCGAATGGTAACTATTAATATAAGGGTTTTCTGAACATAAAAATAATATAAGGGTATATATCCCAACCCATTATATCTATGATTTCCAAACTTGTATTTGTTAAAAATTGCATTGTCCAACTTAATACCTATCAAGGTGATTTTTTTTTTTTTTTGGAGAGTTATGTTTTGAAGAGTTGAGACTCTTCAAAATGTAGGCGTAGATGTTTCTTCTACTAGTTGCCTGTTATGCAGTTATGGTTTGGAAGAAGGCAAACACGTCCTAGCCTCAAGTAATTTTTGTTTGGATGCTTGGGCTTTGTTTCGTAACTATTGTTTAGTTTTGGAATCTCTAATTTCCATCCCGTCAATCAAATTCTCAAAGACCTCAATTTAGTGGGAAAGTCCACTTTAGGTTCCATCTATTGATATCCATTTTGCCTTGTTTCGTTCATGTAAAAAATGATGATGAAACGACAAAAGCTCTACATAGAATAAAAATACCATATCATGGTACACCTAAATGATTATATATATTATAATAAGGTTAATTGTATGGAACGCTCTAGGTTTTACACAAGCCATTCTTTTTATTTTTGTTTTAATACCCCAAAGGTTGAAATATGTGCGTGTTTTGCGTCTTGCTGACATGGAAGTAACAAAAAAAAAAAAAAAGATTGACCTTTGTGTTGCCAAATCCATTTTCCTTTTCTGGCATTTAAGTGGTTATGATTCCATTCTTGTTTCTTGTTTAAATTAACTAAACGAGCAAGTGTTGAGTCTACATAGAAAGCTCTTGTTAATTGCACACGCATCAAGAAACTTAACCAAGTTCCAATTTTCCTTAATTAAATTCTTTAAGCTTTAGATCATGTTCCACACAAACTTACCTTCATCGTCACTTCATCCACATATTGTCTTCAACTCGGCCAAATAGGTGAGAAAACAAATGTAACATCCTAAAATTTAAGACTAGATTCTTAAACTAATAAAGTAAATAAATGAAAATGATTTATATAGTTAAATCATTAAGGAATAAATTTAACATGAGTTAATTTGAAGCTTAGAAAATTGGAAGTGAAAGTAATAACACTTTAAAAAAAATTAAAGGGCTAAAAGTGTTAAATTGGCAAAGTTGGTTGACCAAAGGGTTAACTTAGTTAGTGGAAAGGACCACCAAATTCATATAATGGATGGAGGAGGACTTGTTTTGTCACACTTTTAGACAAATGTGAAAGTAAGTGAAGGAATGGTAAATTTGACAAAAGATGTAAGCTAGAGGGATCAAATATGAAAAATCTGGAAATAAGAATGCACCCTCTCTTCTTCTAGCCAAAAGAGATCGATTGAGAGAGGGGAAGGGCTGTGGAATGGCGATTTCTTCTTTAGCAAGACCTAGGGATCCAATCTAAAGCTCTTTGGTTTATTTGGTGCAAGTTGTGAAGGAAATTAAGGGTTTCAATGTATATTTTCTTCCATTTGTGTAGAAATTCAAATTTGTGAAGTGGGTTTAACCTCAGTATCAAAATTAGCTTCTTTAAATGATCAGGGTTTAGTTTTCTAACCCATCTTGTGTATTTTTGATGATCCCAACCTCAATCTAATCACCTCATTTGATAGATTTGAGGATTTGGGTGAAAACTCTCATGAACCCTAGAAAACCCAAATTGAGGACATTACCATTGATGATGAAATGAGATTGAATTCTATGACCTAGATGATATTTGATAACAATAAATCCATTAGAATGCTCAAATTCATCCATGATGGTCGAATCAAGTATAAGCATAGATTTGTATTGATTTTTGGGGGAATTGGAATGAAAACAGTGGAAACCTTTGCATGTTAGCATTTGATGAGTATATGATACTCATAAACATCAGTTGATTCTAATAATATGATTTGAATGCAAGAACATGAACGCTTGAGTGATCTTCAGTTGAATTTATTGAATAATTGGTCATAAGGGTAATTTGGGAAACATGGAATGGAATTAAGGATTCCATGGTTAGTTTATGTACTTACAATGAGATTAATGAAGGTTTTATGTGCTTGACAACACTTATTTGAGTATTCATTGAGTTAGGAACAAACCTTGTAAACTTTGGAGTGTTTATTTGAACAATTGGAAAGTTAGCCTTTCTTATGGAATTTGAAGATTTGTATGATCTAAGGAAGTTCAATGATCACTAAATGATTTAAGAGGAGTGTTTTAAGATGATAAAACACTTCCTAAACATGTGTGAGAACATAAATAAATGATACAAAGTGAATGGGAAAAGGGTCTTCAAGAACTATGCAAAGTATGGTGTTATTTTGAGAAAAATCAAGTTTTGTATGTGTACAGACATGAAAACATGGCCTATGGAAATTCATGCCTTAATTTCCACGGCTGTGGAAATCTTTGATTGAGAAGATACTTGTTTTCTCCATTACTTTTCCATACGGACGTAGATTTATGCACGATTTTCGCCTACGTTCAATTTTTTTCATAAGGAATGAGATGAAACAATTAAACTTAGTAATGGAGCATATGAGGGGTATTTTGGTCATTTTAATGACTTGTATCGATGTTATATAGGTGATGATTGAGAGTGTTTCTCAAAGGAAAGGAACTAGAAGATGATTAGCTAGCCTATGTGTGATTGAGGTGGGTACGTGTTGGCATTTTCCCACTTTGGGCCCGATCAAAGAGCCGACGAAGGGGATGAGCGAAACAAGGGGGCTACAGTAATTACAAGCTTAGCTAGCACCATACCCTATAAAATGTAATGTTTTGAAGTGAAAGTGTCAAATGTTTTTGGAAATGATAGTTTGAAAGAGTGTCTTGAAGGCAAGAATGTTTTTGAAAGCAAAGAATGTTTTGAAAATGTGTTTGAAATGTTTTGAAATATAGATGCATTATTTTGAAATGAATTTTGATACTAATGTTTGAAATGTGTAAAGCATGGAAAGTAATGACAATAAATGGAAAGTAATGAAAAGAATTGGAAAGGATCGGAAAGTAATGAAATGAATACATTGCTAGAGCCATGATGTCCCCGTAACGGGATATAGAGGAATTTATTAGGGTGACGTCATCCATTTGTGAGATAGATGTCCTAATGGAACTGATGCCTTGGTAGATTGATTTGTTCTTTCCACCTTGGTATAGAGTTGGGGATATTGCTAGGCCTTAAGTATAAAATGGTAACGGTTCATACCGAAATTAGCCCTTAATGAAAGAAAGAATGAAATGTGAAAAGAAATGATTTTTGAATTATGTTATGACTAATGAAATGTTTTGATGTGGAACTTCATGTAGAAATGCCTACTTGAAATATGTTTTGCAAATATGAAATGTTTTTGATGAAAATGCGATTTTGGGTCACAAACCCACGAAGCTATAACACCTCAAACATCACAACCAATTTAAACTTTTAAAAACAACACATTTAATAATAAAAGTGTTTACAAAACCATTGTTTCCAAAACATTATTTAAAATTAGAGTCTCCCAAAACTAGCAACATAAAATCGAAGGATTTGTACGGTTACACATTCGCCTTGCCACGCTCCTCAGAAGTACCTGAAACAAAACTAAAAATGTAAGCCAATGGTTAATGAGTTCCCTCAAAGTACCACCACACAATACACATATCACATAAAAACAAGCATGTTGGGTCCAATCAGTCATCAGACTGGAATACCATCGAATCCACATCCTTCGGGCTGGATTACCCCTGGCCCAATCACTCTTCCGACTGGAATGGCAATATACAATAGGTCCACTCAGTCATCAGACTGGAATACTAATATATAACGGGCCCACTTAGTCATCGGACTGGAATACCCCCGGTCTGTTGACTCACATACATAGCAGTAAACTCTCAATCCAACACAATATGTCGACATATAACAGATAACAAACATATTCAACAGATAGATAATCATGTAGACAGAAATCCTAGGTATCCCTACAAATCTACCAGTCTACACATACTAGCAACTATCATATAATCATATAGATCTACCCCCATAGTCAGCATATCATAAATCAAGATATATCAGGATAACAATCCAATTAGGTCGACCTTGGTACCTTCGAACCATAAGTACATAGAGGAAATCTCACCTCATAGTCTGACAAAAATTTAAACGATAAACTGCTCCAAATACCAGCTCTACAGGTTACCTATGCAACAGATAGAGATCAAGGATCAACTATAGCTCAAAATACCCAAAATACCCTTAAGTCAACCTTGGTCAAAGTCAAAAGTCAAAATCAACGAGACAAGAAATCAACTCAGACTGAGTACGCCCAACGTACTCGGTACGTACGCCCCACGTACTCGCGATCCTGATCGGGCTTAGAACAGCG